TATATATATATATATATATATATATATATATATATATATATGTGTGTGTGTGTGTGTGTGTGTGTGTGTGTATCATATAGGGAAGACAGCTTTATCTGCCGAATAAAAGATTGATCTTATTTAACAAGGCACTCACACCACCACCATCATCCTCCTCCTCCTCATCTTTTCCAAATGAGAGTTTCGCTCTACAGCCAGTGTAGATGTTTTAATGAACAATTATTGGTTTTGCACAAGTCCATTTTTTTTTTGCATGAACTTAAAAAAAAAACCAACAAAAAAAAAAACACTTGCTTTTCTGTATTTAACTGGTGCTGTTATGTAACACTATTCTGAAATAGTCAGCCAGTCGCGCACGCGCATTCCTGAGCTTTATTCAGTGCGCGCTCACGCTGTCGGGGAACTTTGCCAGGAAACTGATAGTGGGGAGAACCGGAAGTAGCAGGTTTGTACTGAAAACATCCTAAAGATAAAGGAGGGCTGACGAGTTTTTATCTACTGAATAAAACATCTTAGTCAAGGACTAAGTAGGAAAAAAAGTTGATTGCCTTTATATGAAAATTTATATGATGATGATGGTGATGATGATGATGACGATGAGAGGATGATAATGATGATGGTGATAATGATGGTGGTGATGATGATGGTGGTGATGATGATGATGATGATGATGATGATGGCACTGACACCATCATCATGCACTACACATAGCTGCTTTTCCAAATATAAGTCTTGCATTACAGCCTGTGAGATTGTTTAAAATAACAATTCCTGACTTTGCACTAAGCTTACTGGCTGCTGTTTTCGTATTTGAAAAGGATTAGTCATAAAAAAGCAACTTTTATGACTTTTCTGTAGTTAATTGGTGCTGTTACGTAAGACTATTTATTCTGCAACCAATAAACAATTAAACACAGGGACGCTCAGCCAGTCGTGAACGCGCATTCCCCAGAGCTCTATTCAGTGCGCGCTCACGCTGTCGGGGAACTTTGCCAGGAAACTGAAGTTGGGGAGAACCGGAAGCAGCAGGTTGGTGCTGAAACATCCTAAAGATAACAGAGGAGGGATTAGTGATTAGTTTGTGTCTATCGAGTAAAGGATTTATCTTACTCAAGGATTAAGTAGAAATAAACATGGCCCTGACGCAGGGTGCGGTTTTGTCGTTTTTAATGGAGCGCGGCGGAAAAGTGAGGAACACGGAGCTTTTGAGCGCGTTCACGGCGCACATCAACTGCAGCGAGCCGAAGCAAAGAAGACACAACAGGGATCTGTTCAAGAGTTTCATCAACAAAGTGGCTGTCGTGAAACGGGTAAATGATGTCAAATACGTCGTCTTGAAGAAGAAATACCAAGAGATGATCAGTGAAGGAAAGTCCTCCATAGCATCAGCATCATCATCATCATCATCATGCACAACACAGCAGAGCTGCTTTTCCACATCTGAGTCTCACTCTATAACCAGTGCAGATGTTTTAAATAACAATTCCTGGTTTTGCACAAATCCACCTGGCTGCTATATTAACAATTCTAAAGATTTAGTCACAAAACAGCAATTTCACATTAGATCAGCTGAGTGTGATGCTGTGATTGCTCCAGTCACTACATCCACCCAGGAGCAATCTTTGACTGCGCATGTACTTAATGTACCTAATAATACCAGAGAGGGCAAAATGGGGGCTGTTTTTGCTGTTGTGGCAATAAAATCACCACTTCATTCACAGTCTGAGAAAATAAAAGTCATCCACAGGATACCTGCATGTCGCCAGAGATTCGAGACTCCACCACAGCAGGAGATAAAAACTGTGGAAGCTGGAAAGAATTCACCCTGCCTGAATCATGAACCTGATCTAAACAAATCACCAAGAATCAAAAGGAGGCAGACAGTGGTGCCTAGTTCACCAGCACCGAAAAGAGGAAATAAAGTTGGGAAACTAGGTTTCGGTGCTAAGGTCTCATCTGCGATCTGTCTAGAGCCACGAGAACACGAGTGGCTTGTAAAGTCAGCAACGGGACGCTGGAGTCAACTCTACAGCCTCCTGCTGCAGGACGTCCACCTGGCAGAGAAGAGAAGCTTCATATCTGGCTTCACAGCACTTCACTGGGCCGCTAAACACGGAAACAGCAAAATGGTGCGCAAAATCCTTGACGTCGGTAAAAAAGTTGATGTGGACATCAAGAGCTATGATGGTTACACCCCGCTGCATGTTGCTGCCATTCACAGCCACGAATCAGTCTTAAATTTACTGGTGCGTGAATACAGTGCTAACTGCAACATACGTGACAACAGTGGCAAAAAGGCGTATCAGTACTTACGCAAAGACCTGTCGGCTGAGGTGAGAGAGCTGCTCGGAGACCCTGCTGCTTCATGCCAGGTCACAGAACATGCATGCTCAGATCACCACTTTTCAGATTTGTCTAAAAACCTCAACACATTCAGTAAACTATTTCAAGCCAGTGTGGGACACAGAAAGAAATCCAGACATCGATCAAGCTTCCGTTTAATCAGCGATGAACAGGAAGAGAACAGGAAAGACTGTACATTAGATCACTAACGCTAATAAAGTGCCCAAATTTGAGTTTATGCACTTGGTGTTTGCCATAACTGCTTTTAATTGAATTTATAGTGATATTTCGCTTTTATACCACAGCACTGTTGAATTCTCGCATGTGATTGGTCCGACAGTAGTTCCAGCTCGAATTCACATGGGAGTTTCATATTAATGTGCCTGTTCGATTACATTATCATTTCTATAGTAACGGCTTATTCACAGGGATTTGTGTGGTGGATGTTCTGCATAATCCAAGATGTTGGTATTTAACGAAGAAAGCATATGATCATTGCTAAGGAGACATTGTTGGAGGAGGTTAGTACAACATGAAAGAAAACACAGCAGCACACCATCCTGTTGTGGATTATTTTCATGTAACAACACACTCTAAGGTGTTTTATTCCTTATTTTGCCACACTGATGACAGGAAAGACTGTATACTGAACCACAGTCTGTTCCACTATCACAAAAAAACTGCCCAAATTGGAGTTGATGCACTTGAATAGACTTTTACACTGTGTCTGTTGTTAATTTAAAAAAATAGTTATTCATTTAAAGATGGTAATGCACTTGAATTTTTGCCAGAACTTATCTGTTGTGAATTTACTTGTTAGTGATATTAGGCGGCACACAGCTCCTGGATCCCCTGTTCGATCTTAAACTCCGATTAGTTGTCTGTGTGGCGTTTGGCATGTTGTTCCTGTGTCTGTGTGGGATTCTTCCAGGTTCTCCAGTTTCCTCCCTCCTCTCAAAAACATGCAAGTAGGTGGATTTGGAGCTACATGCGTACCCGATTCATGCCATGTGTTCCTGGGATAGACCTCGGATCCACCACCACCTTGACTAAGATAAAGCACTTAGTGACCATAAATGGATGATAGTGATATTTCGCTTTTAGATAAGTTGACAACAGCAAAAGACTGTATATTTTTTCCTCTTTCGGCTTCTCCCATTCTGGGTCACCACAGATGATCACCCATCTGCATATTGATTCTGGCACAAGTTTTACACCAGATGTACTTCCATACACAACCCTCCCCATTTTTGGGCTTGGGACCAGCACTAAGAGTGCACTGTCTCATGGACCCTACAGTGACTGGAGTTGGTTCCCTGGCCAAGAATCGAACCCGGACCGCAGCAACGAGAGTGCCGTGTGCTAGCCACTAGTCCGCCAGGCAACCAGCAAAAGGCTCTATATTAAACTGCAGAATTTTCCACTAACAATTCCACAACGAGTCCACTAACATGAATGAACTTCCCAGTAAAAACTGATGCACTTGAATACTTGTAAATTTATACACCATATATTTTGTTAATTAATTGATATTTATTAATTTAGCTAATAAATATAGTGATATTTTGTTTAGGTGTTTAGCCAAGTTGTTACTAATTTGTGCATAGACTTTTCAGACATTAACCACTGTCAGTTTGATTCAATAAGCTATAATCTACGTTTTAAGTTTTGTTAAATTATAAATTATTTTGTTTTTATTTAACTTCATTAGCCTTAGCTAATTGTTGTCAGCCACACAAATGCTGTTACACATATGAGCATGGTGCAGTATATTTCATTAAATGATTTGAGAATCCTATACTTTTGTATAGGATTTTTTGAATGTTTGGATGTTTGAAATGTCACAAATAGATTTCATTTATTTCATATTTCAGATATTACACTATATTGTTTACAGCATGACAAGTAAGTGTAACGGATGTCCCTGCCAAAGGGACAATTGTAACCTATGTACAATTTGTCTTTATATCATTATTGCAGAAAATATGAATTATGTACACCTGTCTCTGACCCTGATTGTGTTTGTAGACAAATTACAAAAACATTTTTTTTTGTCTGTGGTATTGAATATATTAGAGAGTCATCTTTTTCTTTTTTTTCTTTTTTTTCTGAGCACTGAAATGTTTTAGTGTTTAAAGCTATACTAGTGCCTGGATGATTTCAATCCCAGGACTGCCAGGAAGTCATTGTTGGGCCCTTATAATAATAATTAGATTGTATTCCACATTGTAAGTAGTATTAGATTAAAAACGAATAGATGTAAATTCAAAAGAATAAATTGACCATATATTTTTATAACACTTCTTGTAACTGGTAATGAATTAATTAATAGACATTGATTATTTGGTATTGTTTGTACTTTATATTTTTAAATAAGTGAAATTGTTGAAGATATCTCATTATGGTATTTCAAATTGGAGTAGAAATCCTGTCCTGTCTTCTTTATGAATGACTACTTGCTCATTCCTGTCATATCTGATTCTGTGACTGTGTGTGGGGAGTGCTGAGAAAAAAAATGGCTGATTGTGCTGGAATAAAAGAACAAGTCAGTCTGTGTGGGCTGTAGGTCCTTGAATTTATTACATTTCGCTTGTATCTTTGAAAGAATGATCTTTCTTTCCCAACTCCACAATGATGCAGAAGTTGAAAGAGAAGTTAAACATATTTTACCAATCCATCCATTTTCTGTACCGCTTATCCTACATAGGGTCGTGGGGAGCCTGGAGCTTATCCCAGGGGACTGGGGGCACAAGCCGGGGGACACTTTGGACACACACTCACACACCCATTCACACACTATGGACAATTTAGAGATGCCAATCAGCCACATGTCTTTGGACTGGGTGGAGGAAACTGGGGTACCCAGAGGAACCTCCCAAAGCACAGGGAGAACATGCAAGCGCCGCGCACACAGGCCGGAGGCGGGAATCGAACCCCACTAAGCCACCATGACCACCCCACCCCCCTCATTTTTATGTACACTTTTATTTATTTATTTATTTAGCATTTAGCTTATAAATTGTCACACTGGCCACATTTCTGCCTTTATCTTATTGATCTGTTTGCATAATATACATCAATAAGTATGCCATAAGCTTTTCAATCAAGCTACAGTTTCACTTCTTGTTCATTCATAATCTATCTTTATAACCTATGACCAAGATATGTACATATATAGTTAACAGGAAGGGAGGACCATGCCAGTGCAAAGCCGTTTCCTGATTGTTCAATGTTTAATGGACTGTGTTGAAATACTTGTATACTGTTGTATACTGCAGATCCCTGAACAGCACAGAGACATTTTTCAGAGCATGTATTTTAGTGCTAGCTACCAGTTTGTGACATAACAACAAGTGTGATATAAAGATGCATTGATCAATATAGGGTTTAATTCAACACAGGATATATTGTTGTGTTCCCCCTTACAGGTAATACATGAAGAAAACAGTAATAAGTTCTTTCATTTCATTCATATTCATTTTTTTTTTAAATATATGAAATATTAACAAGGATGGAATACATTTCTGTTTGCCTTATAAGTGGTACATTTGTGCAGTATCATTCGGAAGCTTTCTTTAGCAATAAAAAAAAATGTACACAGGCTTTTGGCCATGAGCTCTTTTACGGAAAAAGAGCTTGAACTCATCAACTTCACATGTGGATAGCACCATATGTGGGCTACTTTTACACTTTTTTAAAATTTTTATTGTACATTTTTTACATCACGTATTACTTACATAATCACATGTGAAATGTATTTTTAGTCAGGGTTGGTTGGTAGACAATATGTAGGAAAATAATGTACAGTACACATCTCCAGTTTTTTGTGTGGTAATGCAAAAAGTGAAACGTGCTATCAGGTTAGGATAATGCAGTGATGAAAACTGCATTTTTCTCGATGTGTGTGTGTTGTTTTCTCGTGTCCATGTGCTGAAGAAACGTCATGCACGCGCACCCGGTTTGAGATGATTACATACACCTGTGAGGTGACGCGCGACCGGAAGTGTGCATGGCCTGGGGAGAATTCCGCAAGTGCAGGTCAAAGAATGTGTTAAAGTTTGATACATTTGTTGATCATGGTTAAGGAGAGTTGCGCAGTTTTTTGCCTGAACGCGCTGGTGCTCGTGCTGATGGGCGGCGGAGTGTCGGGACTCTCGGGCCGCGGTGCTGGAGGCCAACCCGCCGAGCACTTGGTGCATCACGGCAACATTTTAAGCCCATTACTGAAAGCCTTATCGGAGCACGAGCCGTGGGGAATTCATTTCCCGAGAAGTAGACCCGATTCGAGATACGTACGATTCATGAAAAGGCTTTACAAACTGTCTACAAAGCATGAGAGGAGCCACGAGGCGTCCCACCTTTACAACACTGTGCGCCTGATCACAGCACGGCAGGAGTGTCTGGACCAGTGTGGAGGTACAAACACAACAACCACACCCCAGAGATCCATTCAGTTACTGTGTGAAGATTACTTGTGTGTCAGCCTCACTTCTACCATGTCTATCAGTGGAAAGGACCACCTCTGACCAGATTTTGTTTCTAGTGGTAGCTCATTCTCAGCACAGCGGTCACACTGACATAGGTGTGTGTGTGTGGGTAGCTGGTACGAGTGTATCAGGCACAAGAGCTTTGCAGCTCCAGGAACCTGTGATCCGTTCCAGAGCACAGCTTACTGTCTGTGTGGAGTTTCCTCACAAAGACATGCCAGTAGTGGGACTGGTGACTCTAAATTACCCCTAGGTGTGAATAATTCTGTTGAGGTTGTAAATCTCGAGCAGTAAATCCCGAACCAGTAAAAAGCCAACGAAAACACCCCCTCAACTTGAAATTCTTACTCATCAGCTTCTTCTCAACTACGAGTTCCTTTCCTGTTTATGGAGCAATGTCAAATCAACATGGCTTCTCACAACATCAGAAGTAAAACAAAGTAGCATTGCTTTACCTTTTCGATGAGTTGTACTGTATATACACGTATTTACTTTAGATCAATCAACATACAGACATTAGCTTATTAAATCTATAACGCTGACTATACAGTTCACTGTTTCAAGAGGAAACATACATCACTCATCACAGTCAGCTGGCTAGCTTGTTGCTAACAAAAGACAAACATGGTGGCATGCACGTTTTCCCCTCCTCCTGGTCTGTCGAACGTGCCGAGGTCATTGACATAATTCCAACAGGCTTATTACCACTTATGAAGTGAATCGAATGCAGCATTAGTGTCCGATGGACTCCCTTCCAGGCTGTATTCCCACTTGAACCCAGTGTTCTCAGGATAGGCTCTGGATCCACCTTGATTGGAATGAAGTGGTTCCTCTCAAGGTCTCTTCCTAAGGGAGTTTTTAATAATGGGAAGTTTTTCCCCATTATTGTCGTCTTGCTCATTAGGGATCTAAATCTACGTCCAGATTTCTTTAGAGCTGCTGTGGGACAATGCCTACTGTTAAAATCATTATAATATCCAAACAAACTTCAACTAAATTGATCTGAATGACCAGCTTTGTATGGGTTTTGAAATACCTCAATGTCAAAAATATCCATGATGGACCACTGATTAACTCAAATTGACAAGTATTACAATTCGCTATAGTTTTTACCTGCATGCTTTCAAGGTGAATTAACAATGAAGTTGTGTCTAATAGATTGTAGCCACACTGCTGTGTCCTTTTGCACTCGTACCACCACACGCTACCATGTCAGTGTCACCCACAACCCAAATATCTGGTCAGTGGTGGTCCCATGGTGTTCCCTTTCTTCCCGCTGATGAATGGAAATTGTATTTGCAGTCAGTAGTTGTGTACCTACAATGTGCACTCATATGGTATAATTGTACCTAATAAACTGGAAACATGATGTATTTCACTGCACATTGTACGCTTATGGCTGCGGAATTGGATCACAAGCGTACTGAGGATATTTTTGGATACAGTAAGCACAAATACATTAAAATGATGTGAAAATATTTTTTCCATCAAACATCATAAATGTTCTTTAGTTGGTCCTTCTGAAGAACCCTTAAAGGATGTGTAGATGGTTTCCATTACAGAGAGGTTTCCACCCTTTTAGACAGCTACAGTAGTTTGATTCTAGCTGCCTAAGGTTGTAGGTGTTGGCCAGAGTAAATGCTGTTAGTGCATGTTTTGAGGACCTGGAAAAGATGGCTGTTGTGGTTGTATACAGTATGTCAGAGTTAATATAGGCTAAACAGAAAGCATATTTTTGGGCTAAATTAACGTGGATGTAAAAATTTCCACCAGATTGCTAGCAAGCTTGCTCCATGCTAGAAGGAGCTACTTCACCTCTAGCAAGGCTGCCACTATAAATAAGCATTTTATTTAACTGGCTAAAATGATTCTTTGAAAATAATCATTTAAAACCGTT